GCATAACTGAATGATTTTATATGTCAATGGGGGTAAATTAGGGGGTTGACTTGTTTGTCTTTATGAACATGTTCAATACATGGAGTTCTGGTCCGCACGAGGTCACATAATGAACTTAATTAAAATAAGGTACCAAAACTATCCAGTGGTCTATGGTGTTGTTAGCTGTACTTGTTACCATCTACACTAGTGATTACTGGTTGAACAATTGAAAAAAACTGTTCATTCTGTTTATTTGTTTTTGGTTGCCTGAATTCTGTCTGACTTGAGCTAAGAAGATGACAGTATTAAATATGGACTGTGGATTTTTTCTCTAAGATTTGTGGTTGTTGAGGGATTGGTCCGTCATGACCTCTTTGTTTGTCCTATTTCTATATGCTGTTTTGGTAGGGTGGTTTAGCACTTTTAGATTCTCTCTCTCTATTGTTGCTGAGCTTTTCCATAGTACACATTGCCCTACAACTAAACTTTCTCCTCCTTTGGCTGGGGTGTTACCTTCAATGGGTGTTTCCACATAAATCTTGGTGTGGTTTTATCTCACTTTAATGTTGTTTGTTGCGTTCATCTGCTTACATTTTTTGAAAATGTTTGGGGGGCAGTGAGAGGGGCGGTGGTTAGTAAACAGTTTAAAGTTTGATATGTTCAAATTTTTTGTCCAGATAGATTGGCACTCCTATGTATGAGCTATAATTTTTCTTTCATTTTTCCTAGCAATGTGGTACATTGAGGAGAATAGGAGCACAGTGGCTAGAGGTGGATCCCGGGTTTGAAGTTTATGGGGTCCTACAACAACTTCAAGTTAAAACTTAAAACTAATAATAATAATTGGGTTCACTATCAATTATTTATGGATATTTAGTAGATTTCTTAATATATATATATATATATATATATATACAAGATCTGGGCATAAGCTACTAAATTCACGTGAACTTGTAATGACCCTCTAGATTTACCCCTGTCAATGACCAAATACTTTTTACATGCACATGACTTTAGACCATGATGGGTAAAGAGCATTACAGGCTCTTTTGCTTGTCTAGCCTCTTTAAGTTTTCGTCTGTGGCTCTAAATGTCAGTATAGACTCAGGAAGAAAGTAAAATTAAGAAAAAATGATTTTGGCTGGTTACTCAAGGTTTTTACTCTCAAACACTCCACGGCTACCGACAAGTGTATGCGGTAATGTGCTAAATGAATCTTGCAATATCAGGAAATAGATTGGAACTAAAACCCCAGTTTCAGATTCAGAACATTTATTTCAAACGGCGCCAAAGGCATCAGAAAAATCCACACCAGTTAAGAGTAGTGCAGAAATTGTTTTTTTTTTTTTTGGGTAAAAACTTTTGTTCTTTATTATTTGGTGCATTATCTTATAATCCAGGACTGTGGGTTATCTTGGGAGGGATAGACAGTCCCCTTTTTAAAATTAATTTTAGGAGAAACCTTTTAGTAGACCTTTGTTGTACAGTCTAGTTATCTCCAGTGATATGTTCCATCTGTCAGAATACTTGACTACATTCATAAACATTTATATCTTCAGAAGAAGATTTCTATAAAAGAATGTTTATCTTAGGAGATAGGTGAAGCTCTCTTTTTTTAGAAAGCTAGCCCAGAATGTACATCTTAGGCCTTAGCACATCCTCTTTCTTTTGCCTAGTCTTCAGCATCATCTCTTGAAACACATCAAAACCTATATTGGCTGACATTTGTAGAAGCTATTGAAACTTGACATGGATGTTGAAATCTAATTGCATCAACAACTATAGTCTTCACAATGATCACATCTGAAGTTGTTGAAAGCCACGTGATGCTCTTATGTGCTATGGGCGTGAATTTATTGTTTTGTTGGATGGGTAAGATAGATGCATATGCATACATTTATATGTGGGATTGTTTTATTTGTATTCTCAGGATCCAAATCTTGACTATGTTTTTTGTTGTTGGTGGCTGTTTTGTCATTTTGTGAGAAAGGAAATAGGAGGGAATCTGGTAAGGAGGTTCTGGAGACCGATCCTTTACTGCTAGTTCAGGCTTCCCAAGTAGTTCCAAGATTTTACAGTGTAAAATCTCTCTAAATTTGAGACACTAATTTCAACATTGGCCAGCAATGAAATATTAGTAGGAGATAGGGAGGGGATGAAATCCCATGTATTTTTTGCTTTTCCTGGTTTTGATTGTCTTGAGTTTTTGTCATTAATAACCAGTTCCTCTCTGAATAATGACCATATTGAGCTAACATTGGTAGGGAAAGGGGTGTGATTCTCAAGTATAATTCTTTTTCTTCTATATACATATTTAACTTATTGCTCACTTTTATTTTTATTTGGTATGAGGATGATATACTGATTCAATCCGAGCTCTCAACTTGTTATTGAGGCGTAGTCGTGGTAGTTGTTGTAACTGAAAATTGCAACTTTCTGACTTCTCCTCATATTAAAAGAAACATCAAAATTAGGGGGAAAATTATTACGATCTCCTTCTTGTTTCCCCTCTTTCGTTTGAATTTTAAGATTTTTTTCAACTCATTGCTTCATGCTTACAGAACAGCTGTATAATACATGCCTGAGTTAGACAATATTTTTCCTTAGTAAGGTATTAGTGAGACTATTGAAAGACCTTGCCACATCTATTTCTTGTTAAAGCGATTTCTTAAATTTGTCCATCTAAGATACTATTTGTTTCTTGTTGCTTCAGGCAAACCAAGATCCACAACATTGGTGCAACACTTGTTGGTGTGGATAAATTTGGTAACAAATATTATGAGAAGCTAGGCGATACACAATATGGTTGGTACAGCTGTTTCATGCTTTTGTGTGTCTTAATCAGTTTCCCTTGTACATCTCATTTGTCGTTATCTTGTTTAATACTAGTGCCACAAAATGTATCTTCAAGGTTGTGGGTTTCCTTGTGTATCGCCTAAAAGTTGAGGGTTCTATCATTTGGTTGTATAATCTTATGCTCTGATATTTTCCCCTTAAGGTGATCAAAGGAACGGCTTTATGTAGCCACATATAAGAAGGGTTATATTTCCCTTGTTCTAGGTAAAAGAGCAAAGATTTCTTGCTCTTTATTCTCTGAGTAGGTTATATTTTCCTTGTTCTATGTAAAAGAGCAAAGGTCTCTTTCGCTTTATTCACTGAATAGTTGTTGCCGTTGCTACTTTGTCAAGACTTATACTTTATGGTGACAGAACTTAGTGCGGTTCAATTGATCGGCTTCAGTATGTGTACTCTACTAATCTCTCTTGGTAGAGGATATTAACTTTACTGGAGGCTTATTTGTTTCATTGTGTGAAATAATAGTTTTGGCCTAGTTAAACATGCTTTCTAGGCTGTATTGTGAAGGTTGACTTCATTTTCAAATTTTGGAGATATGTTGATCTTGTTTAAGACATTAAATAGATAACCTTAAGGTTAATAGTTTGGAGTCTCATCGCCCTTAATCTCCAAGTATAGTGGAATGCAGTGATGCCTGTTATCCAAATTTGGGAGACCTTTGACGTCAGTGATTTTTTGCTTATTTTATTTTTACGATTGCTCAAGTAAAAGCATTTGTTTTTGACATGATTATGTAGGAAGACACCGGTGGGTGGAGTATGCACAGAAGAATCGTTACAATGCTTCACAAGTTCCAGCAGAATGGCATGGCTGGCTCCATCACGTCACCGATCACACTGGTGATGAAGTAAGTCTTGACAAGTTCTTTATGATGCATACCCCACCATTTCAGTATTCTTATATAACATGCAATGCAGCTGCTACTGCTGAAACCAAAGAGGTACGGGCTTGAGCACAAGGAGAACTTTTCTGGTGAAGGTGATGCATACATATATCACTCCAAGGGACACACTTTAAATCCTGGGCAGAGAGACTGGACTAGGTACCAAACTTGGCAACCCACCAAGAAGGAATAGGTTCCAATTTCTAAAGTGCAGCTGGACAATTATATGGATTTTCTGCCATGCTTCGTTAATAAAAAGTCCTCGTATTGAACCTGTGGTTATAAGCATATGTGTACACTATCAAATTCCAGGTCGATACAATTTGCTGTACAATTCTCTTATCTTTGATATGGTTCTCAGGTTTTGAATTGGATCCAAAATGTAGTCATGCATACTTTATTCCATCGCCGGTTTAAAGTGTGATTGTTATTCTTTTGAAACTAAGCTATTCAGTGATATATTATGTTATATCCCATTGGAATTGAAAATGGTGGATCGTGGTGGGAAGACCAAATGCATTGAATTTAAATACCTTGTTCAGTTTCCCCCTTCCCTTTCACAAGATGAATATCGAAGAAATATGAATCTTAAGATGGATTTTCAGTTACGCAACATTCGACAAGTTAATAAGTGATCATATTTAACATTATATACCAATAGTATACAGAGGATGGGCTGCCAGAATCTCGTTCTAGACGTCTGGTGGTGTATATGTGGATTGATACTATATAATATGTGGATTAATACATAAACATATTTTTTAATTTGCTTCAACTAGAATATATATTTTAATATAGTAATTTTCCACATTCTACAACAATCTCTTTATGATAAGCATGTATTTCTAGATGAGATTATCGAAAAGACAAAAAGACAAAACAACACTGTTAGGTTCTTCTTCTTCTTATAGAATTACTATGTATATGAATGCGAATCCACTTTTGTCTTGAAGTCGTAATTGATGAACTTTATTTTAAATAATAAAATATAAAAATTTAGAGAAAATTTTAAATTTTTTATAAGAATTTGACAAGTATATTTTGGTGTAATAATCACTTTTTTTTTTTAGATTTTAGATTTTGTGTCCATTTTTTTTTCCCTTCAATACTCGATAAATTTATAGACAAATTGAGAGGAAGATATTATGACGTGGTCATACCAAATCTCATTGTTAGCTAACATGAACTTAAATGATATCATACAATAAAATTTAAAATAAACATGTATTTAAATTAAAAATACAACAGTAACCATCATAACCATCCAAACAAGGTGTCAATTTTTTTTTGTTAGTTTTCCAGACAAACCACCATTTCTCACCTACCATTTCAATTTTCAGCGTAGTTGAAGAAGCAACGTTGCTATACTATAGGCCTCTTTTTTTAAATCAGTCTTCTGCTTTCGTTTATATGTATTTTCTTCCACTTTTTTCACCTAACTTACCCAAAACTAAAACAATAATACTACTAATAATAATAATAATAAAAAGAAGAGCAAATACAGTTAGCTTCGACAATACTCTAACCTGTAAGCTTAAATCTTCAATTTGACCTTCTCCAATGGCGACAGCCAACGATCCCGAGCAGCTAATTGTTTCATCCATTGACAAGGTAATTTAGTATTGTCCTGTAATTTGTTTTATCCATTTATTTGGGGGAAAGTGTTTTGTGCAATTTTGATGATTGTGAATTGGAGCAGGGTGAAAATTCGTCCAGTGAGATCAACATCGTCCGAGAGCCACTTCTAAAAGGCGAGCATCATGCTGAGAATTACTCAATACGCTCCGCAGTACTCCCGTGAGTATCTACTAATTGAGTCCATTTTGTAATCTGGGTCATCGAATTTAAGCATTTGGTGCTGAAATTGAACACAGTGCTAGTTTCCATTTGAAATGTAACAGTAAGATGTGCTTCGAGTAGTTTCTGGAACTGTAAGTCAATTTGTTTGATAAATCGAATGCACTTCGTTTATAGCATGAAATGGGCCCTTCAATGAGCATATCCGGATTAGTCGGGCTCCTGAGTGAGCAACCCAAAAAAAGTGATAGTAATGATGTGGCATTTTCTTTTCCTAGACCCTGCTTGTGGGATTACTGATTACACCAGGGTTGTTGTTGTTGTTGTTGTTTATAGCATGACAAGATGATATCTTAAGTATATACAGTATAGATTTTGGCTCAATAGATTCCTCTATTAAGTTATATTATATAATTATCTATACAAAAGAGGATCTTCTCTTTACAATTTTGAATTCTAAGTGATCTTTTATGTGATTCGGGATGTTTTTATGTGTCCTGTTGGAAATATAAATATCCATCTTTATTCCCAGAGATAAATTATTCAGATGATCCACAAAAAAAAATAATCTATGTGTTAAGAAGAAAATGAAATGGAGAAATTTTCCAGCTTCAATGGCTTTTTAGGTATGACATGATAGACTACAAATTCACTTTGGGTTATTGCACTCAATCCGTACATTGCTAGTTGCTTAAGGTTTAGTCTTCCAGAATAAAAAGGAAAAATTAGAAAAGAAAAATATTAGTACTACAATATCCATGGATTTTCTATGTCCTATGCTGATTCACTTAGTAGGATACTTATTATTATTTTTTGATCTTTTAGTTTGAATATATTATGATAAGTTGATGAATGATTTGCCAGTTTTCTGTTCCCCGCCTTTGGAGGACTGCTTTATGGTTATGATATTGGAGCCACATCCTCTGCTACAATTTCCATAGAGGTATCTTGCTTCCTTCGACCTAATAAGGAGTCCTTGTATCGTATCATCAAAAAAGAAAAAGAAAAGAATCCTTGTGTCTCATTACCATGTTTCTAGCGGCTCGACCTTGATTTTATGTCCTCCTAGCTGATGGCATAAGGCTGTTAACAAGAATCTTTATGGATTCTGGACCAACTAAGTACAAAAGGAGAAAGAACTGATATTGGAGGGAACATGGAAGTTTTGGTCTTTGGCCTAGCAAGTAGGAAAAATACCAAACTTGACATTTTTATCTGTCTTTCCAGTTACCACATTTCAATTGTCTAGCTCATGGTAGTTTGTAATATGTTGAAATTACTTTTGATTGAGATCAGGCTTTGAACATCGTGTGCCTCAAGAAGATCTTTGCTCTTACAAAGATGTTGATTGTCATATAAAAATGTGTCCGGTTGAATTGCTTGTTTTTCTTCAATGACAGCTCATAGAAATTTTCTACTGTTTCAAGTTTCTGTAGAAAGGTCATCAAATGTTTCTGATAGTGTACCTTTTAAATGAACTGTTGATTTCATAATATTTGTTTATCACACTTGGTATTGTTATTCATTCTAGCATATAGAGTTATGGTTCTAATGTGTCAAGCTATATTCTGCAGTTGGCTAATTAAATAAAAACAACTTTAACAAGTTAATGCTGCTTATATTCTTGATTGAAAAAAAAGTTAATGTTGTTTATATTCTGCAGTCAGCTTCATTGAGTGGAATTTCTTGGTATGATTTGTCTTCTGTGCAAACTGGTCTTATAGTAAGTATACCATTTTCTCATGAAATCATATGTGCTTTCTTCTGTCTGAGCATTGGAAAGATCTTAGGTTTGCTGCTTGTGACAGACTAGTGGTTCACTGTATGGTGCTTTAATTGGATCTGCCGTTGCTTTCCAAATTGCTGACTGGCTTGGTTAGTTTTTCTATCCGACCGCAATTGGTGTCACATTCAAATGTGACTCTTGTGACTGAAACTACTTAACTTATTTGTAGGGAGAAGAAGGGAGTTGATTGTGTCTGCTTTGTTCTACTTTCTTGGAGCTCTGGTAACAGCATTCGCTCCTGTCTATGTTATTCTGGTAATTGGGCGCTTGCTGTATGGTGTAGGAATTGGACTGGTAAGATACTGCAATGTCTTTAATATTTTCTTTCCATTTTACTTATTCTACCGGGGATCTTGTATTTTCACATGTGAATTGTGATGGTGAGTTCTCAGGCACATGAGTCCTTCTACTCCTTCAACTCCTTCCACTTGCTTGTATCTCCTTTAAAAGTTGTCTACTGTTTCCCATTTTCTTTCTTCTCTGAGGTGTCTTTCTACTCCCCTGAACTCTGACTGGTGCTTTCACATACATGAACCTCTCACTTCTATCGTTCTCCTGTAAGAGTTGTCTCCTGATTACACTCCTAAACACAGAAATGACCTCTTTTAGCTTCCTTTGTTCTTTATGCTTTGATTTGATGAGGCATCAATTACATTAGACCATCAAGGTCAAGTGAGGGATTAAACAGTATTAACCTGAGAAATATTTGGAAATCTACTTCTTTTTAAAGACTCAATGTTCAAACTGGTTGCTCCATTTTCTCCTTCTGTTCCATGGCAGGCAATGCATGCTGCTCCCATGTACATTGCTGAGACGGCTCCTAGCCAGATACGAGGACAACTGATTTCTCTTAAGGAGTTCTTCATAGTTTTTGGGATGCTAGTAAGTACTACATACTTGCCTGGAAATTCTGTTGTCTATATGAACGTTACTATAGAGGAAGGTGATCTCTAGATATCTATTTCATGACATCATTATTTGTTGTACAGCATTCTTTTGAATTGTGGAAAGCTGACATTTGTAGGTTGGATATACAGTTGGAAGCCTTCTGATAGAAACTGTTGCTGGTTGGCGATATATGTATGGAGTTAGTGCCCCTTTAGCAGTTATTATGGGAATTGGAATGTGGTGGCTTCCTTCATCACCCAGGTGGATTCTTCTATGTGCTATACAGGGGAAAGGTGAGTTGCAGGGTTTAAGAGAAAAAGCCATATGTTGCTTGTGCCAGCTTAGGGGAGCTGCAATTGGTGATTCAGCATCTCGTCAAGTAGATGACATTCTGTCTGAGCTTTCACAACTAAGCGAAGAAAAAGAGGCGACAATAGGTGAGATGTTGCAAGGAAAATGCTTGAAAGCCCTAACAATTGGTGCTGGACTAATCTTGTTTCAACAGGTAGCTATATATCTAATAGTTTCATTTCCGTTCCACTTGCAATGATCTAACTGTGCACTCACTTCTTTTGCTTTTCACATGGCAGATAACTGGGCAACCAAGTGTCTTGTATTATGCTGCAAAAATTTTCCAGGTACACTTGCCAAATAGTTGAAGGGTGCTAATGATGTTCTTATATCACTTTCTCTTCTTTGTGCCCTACTAACTTAGTGTACAATGGCAGGATGCGGGATTTTCGGCTGCAGCTGATGCTACAAGAGCTTCGGTTTTCCTTGCACTGTTGAAGGTGGAATCTTGGGGAAGATTGTTTTCTTTCTCTTTCTATTTAGCCTTGTTCTTTCCTGGAAAGGAATGAACAAGAAAAGATGTCCACTCAGGTGGTAAAGGGCATATATATTATTATTTTTTGAATTCTTATGGTAATATAAGGCAATAACTTCCTGTGGCGTTAAGTGGATAGGATGCTTGCATTCGAGGTTTGTTCGGAAGATCGTTGCAAAGTTGATTCAGTATTCATTGATACAGAACTAATGATAATAGTCTTAATTTTCCTTTTAACTTGCTTCCTCTGTGGCTCTGTGCTAGTTATCCCATTTGCTTTATGGGATATTGCTGCTAGTTTCAGTTAACTTTTGCTACAGCATTGGAATGATCCTATGTTTCCCTCTTTTTCACCATTTTCAGCTCATTATGACTGCTGTAGCAGTGGTAGTTATTGATAAGCTTGGGAGGAGGCCTCTGCTTCTTGGAGGTGTGTCTGGGATTGTAAGTAACTATACCCTCTTTTTCATTATATATGGCAATGTTTGACTGGACAACTAAGTTTTATATGTTAATTTGACTTGTGTATATATATTGTGGTAGTAAAATATAGCATTAAATTAATGGTAACTGGGTTGAGAAAACATTACTTTAGAGTTTAAAAATAGTTAACTGTATTTGAATTCTAGAAAGTTATGAAAGTTGTATTATATGATATTGCCAATGGATTGTTGTCAAACATGCTGTAGCATCCCAAAATGAAAAGTATCATGTAAATTGGAATGGAGTGAGTATTAATTTTATAAATTTATGGTTTCAGAATTCCTAGTATGGTGGATTTGACATGTTTAATCTTAGATAACTTACTTCCTAAGAAGCAACTTCATAACAATCAATGTTAATTTTTCTGAAGCTCCCACTAATCATGTATTTTCTGCAGGCAATGTCACTTTTCCTCCTGGGATCATATTACACTTTCCTTGGTGATGTTCCAGCTGTGGCTGTTACTGCTCTGCTACTGTATGTTGGCTGTTACCAGGTAATTCAAGTTTTGTTTCATTCAATATTTGTGCTTGAAAGTACTACAATAGACTTGTCTGAGTGAGTGTAACTTTTGGCTATACAGTACAAATAACATCATGATTTTTGTGCACATTTTATTTTTTTGAGGAAGATAAAATTGAAGTTCAACTTTGCACAAATTTTATTAGATGCAGTAATTCCAGATTTTTTCTTTTTTTGAAGAGTAAGCAACAACCTTTGCTCATCTTTTACCCCACTGGTATGGTGGAAATTATTTATTTGGACGTTGTGAATGTTCATCACCTGAAACTTTCAGCAGACTTTGAAATAGTTTAATCTTATTGGTAACTAGGTTGAAATGGTTTGTTGAGATTAGATGTTTCTTTCTTCTTTTCAGTGATCTTCCACTAGCAGAACTTTTTTTTTGAGAAGGTAACAAAATCTGTATATAAATCATCAGACAAAAAATGAGAGTGTTATATCCGAGGATCCAGACAAAAGCAGAAACTAAAGATCAACTCTTGCTCTTCTTACAAGGAATCTAAAATTTCAATAATTAAAACTAGATTGTTTATATGTTCTGACTTACACCAAAAGCAAAATAGAAGAATTCATTTTTGATTCTTTCCAAGGCGTTGCTTGTATCTTCAAAACACCTCGAGTTCCTCTCCTTCCATTTTGTCCACCAAATTGTTGCTGAGACAATTTTCCATCTGTCTTTGTTTGTGCTGCATTTACCCTCTGTGCTCCATCTTGTCAAGACTTCAGAGGTTCTTCTTGGCATTTCCCACCTGATACCTCTGAGGTTGATAAAACAGATCCCATAACTGGCCGGTCACTTTGCTGTATAGAAACAAATGTCTAAATATCTCTGCATTTTGTCCACATAAATAACATCTTGAACAAAGTTGAAATCCCCTATATCTTAGATAATCCTGAGTAAGAATAACTTCCCTCAAACCAAGTGAAACATGCCACTTTGTATGGTACCTTTGCTTCCCATATAAGTTTCCAACGCAAGTAACTGAGCTGTGATCCCTCTTGATTCAGGCCTTTGTATGCAGAGCTCACTGTGTAAACCCCTTTACTATGTCTTTTCCATGTGAGTGTGTCTTCTCCTTCCTGCAGTCTCTTGCACTGTTCCCTTATTCTAGCAGAGGTTATGAAAAGGAAAAAGGTACGAGACCATTTTATGACCATTAGGCACCATTGTTTTGCAGATCATGAAATTAGATCATAGATCTGTAGAAGAAAAAAGTATCTGAAAGTTAATTACTGAGGTACTAGAAAGTATTTTTTAATCCACTATTGCCTTGCGTAAGAATTATGTTATAGAATTAAAAGGAAACTTGGGGGTTTGTTGAGTATGTTTCAAAAGCATTAAGTCTCCCACAAAACTCTCGTGCTAGTCTTATGTGTATCCATTGAAATTATGACAATTCTTTCCTATTGTTAATCTACTATGTATATGTCTATGTCCAAAAGTCAAGAACATTTGGACAAAGGATTTGAAAGACTCGTTCCATTCTTTTCTAAGGTATTAGTTTGTAACAGGGTGAACCCCAAAACAGTAGTACTTTCTGGTTTGTTCCAAAGAAGTGAGGTTGTGGACATATTCTACTTTGGTGTATTGATTGTACCAAGATAACATCTGCAATTCTTTCTGTGATTCGTGTGTGCTATTTTTAGATTTTAGAAAAAAATTGTACGATATTCTGGCCTATGGTTTTGTAATCGATCCTCGTGCCTTTTATCATGACTTCTTTTGTTTAACTATAAGATTCCTTGAGCCACAAAAGAGAAAGAAAGAATCCACAGCATCTCTATCCAGCTTGTTTTGGTTTTTGAAGCTTGACCAAGTAATGCATTGCTCTTAACTTCTTGAAGTCATCTTTTGCAGTTATCATTTGGTCCTATTGGTTGGTTGATGATCTCAGAGATCTTTCCCTTGCGCGTTAGAGGGCGAGGGTTGAGTATTACAGTTCTTGTGAATTTCGGTGCAAATGCACTAGTGGCATTTGCATTTTCTCCTCTTCAGGTACTGAAAACTTTTTAATGCTCTGGAATTTTCTAAATTATATTTTTGCACTTACTCTGTTAAAGAATACCCTTAAAAGCAACTTTAGGCATGTTATTGTGATTTGTGAAGGTTAGTCTGTTGTCTATTCATTCGAGGAGTTTTTTTTTAATTTTCATTTTAAGCCTAATCTTGAAAAGATAAAAGATGAAAGGGATAGAGGGTGAAATCAGATACTTGAAATTGGTACTCTTAGAAAGTCATATGATACATTCCTTTTACCATACAGAACTAAATAGTATCCATTAAGATGCATCTCTTTTGCCTGTCACACAAGTTTGAATTTTTTTGTTCCAACCTGGAGTATCTTCAAGCTTGTTATGTATATGAATGTGCAGATATTGTACATATTTAGTTCTAATGGATTATATCTTAATAGTAAATTTGAAGATTTGACAATGTATTCCGTGCAATTAATGGAAGATAAAAGGAGGATAGTGGGTCTATTAGGTGCTAATACTGGCGAAGTCTCATTGTCAGAGTACATCTTCTGCTGATTAGAATCTGCCTGCATTAGTGGTTGAGCTTTCGAAATCACTTGTCTCTTCTATTTTGGAATCTCACTCCAAGAATACTAAAAGTGAGTGCCAGTCACAATATATTGATCAATCATAATACCTTAATCCAGAATTAATAGGGGTAGGGTACATACTTCATCTATTTTGCTCTATCTGGACACATTTCACCTCAATACTAAATGGGGTTCTTAAAGCTAGATGCTCTCTTGCTCTTACACTTGTCCCTGCACTAACATTCAGGTCTAACATGACTTTTGAGTCGTGACAAACATCAGAAGTAATTAAATGTATGAGTACCCATCATGATACAACAACAACATACCCAATGTAATCCCATAAGTGGGGTCTTGGGAGGGTAGAGTACCCATCATGATACTTAGATTAAATTAAGCTTTCAGTTACAGTATTGGATCTTTCCATCAGTATTGAATTAGAGCGGAGGATAATTTCTTTTATTTGTTAGATTGAAGACATAGTTGACACCTCATGCAAGCATGGTTATGATTGTTAATGGATAAAATTATAGGGTTTTCCGATGTGAAGTATAATTGTACAAGATTGTTTGGTCTAGCGCCCAAATTGTTGATTGCTTTGGAGAGTGGAGACACCTTCTTTTAAGTGGCTCCATGATAAATTGGCCATAGGTGATGCAATTTCTTCGTATGAGTTTATATCATCTAGAAGTGGTGATGTAATTGGTCCATACAACTTTACGTCATCTGGAAGTCGTTCATCTTAGTTGACAAGGTATTGGTGGACTATGTTGCTTGATCTCTCCAAAAATACTACTGCCCCTGTGTTGGATCTTAAAAATATGCATTACTGAATGATCTGACACACAGCTGGGGATTTTTGAAGAGTCCAAACAACATCACTGATGGATTGTGCATTCAAGGCTATTCTCTCTTGGGTCCCCACCCTTTTTCCAACTTATGTTTATTTTAGTGGCATTATTTGGCTTAAAAATGGGTGTCATCTAAGAAAATCAACTACGAGTCAGAATTAACAAATATGTCTTTGAGAAATTATATTTTTGGTTACTCCTAATTGCAGGACTTACTGGGGGCCGGAACTGTATTTTTCATCTTTGGTGGCATAGCTGTTTTGTCTCTTGTATTCATCTTCTTCATCATACCAGAGACAAAGGGGCTCACTTTGGAAGAGATTGAAGCCAAATATCTCTAGAACTCACACCTTACTTCTTCTCCATCTCTCGGACAATAGAAAGTACACCTATCACCCTTGGACAAGTTTGTTTTTCATACTTGAATGTCTCCTTGTCAGAATTCTTGAGGCAATCAAGTTGGTCTGCAACTGTTCTCTCGTAACACCAGTATGCGAAATCGAGGGCTGGTGATTAGCCTAGTTGTGTAATCGTGTGTATTATGTCATCAACAGTGGATCATTACTTTGTACAGAAGGAAAAAATGGAAAAAATAGTGTTCCAGTTCGTTGTTTAACTTGATTTAGGGACACTATTTTGGCACAGTATACTTTCTCGAATGCCAGTGTTGGTATCCTTTTCTCTATTTTCGTTGTGATCATTACCATTCATAAATTGGTTATCTATCTACTGGTGGGCTACGTTTTTTTTTTGCGTATTAGTATTTAATAAAGATGTACAATGAATCCAAAAATATTATCAAGTGGTATTATTATGCTTTTTTTTCTTTTTCTTGGATTGGTGAATTTTTGTTTAGAAAAAGATCATAATTCTAATGAACTAAAGCAAAAATGGTCAAACAAAATGGAGTACTTTACTTGTTAGCTGCGGGAGTATCATTTCGACCAAAACAGGTGCCGCTGGGAATGCCACAATGAATAATAAAACTAGTCCATATCTATATTTTCCTTTCTTGACCCAAAAAAAAACATGTTTCGTGTGCGCACAAGAAAATGATTTCAGATTTTATTGCACCTGCTCCATCTATTTGACATACCTCTATACCTATATTAATTTGATTTGATACACTTTATTAAAACAGATTTAATTCCATCACAGATTACTGTTAAACTATTTAAACTTGAATATTGAGAAAATTTCAAAGTTATTTATTATTTGTACCAAAAGAATACACATTAATGTTATATTAACAAGCCAAAAACAAAGAGAAAAATGTATGAAATATATTCGAATTTTGATCAAAATTTCTATAATAATTTCAAACTTTGGGCGGGACTTATTACCCATGTACTATTTTCAATAGTGTATTTAAAAAATATATAAGTGTCCAGCTGGACAAGTTACTATTTATAATGATGCAATATTTATGATTTTCAAGTGACACCTATATATTTTTAAAATACATTATTAAATAGTGCAGGGTACTAGGTCCTGTTTGGAATTGTTACACAATTTTGATCAAAGTTTGAATATATTTCGAACCCTTTTCCCTTAAATAAATAGAACGGGGCGTGTGGACCGGGTTCGGTACATTTAACACTAAACCGGGGGTTCAACCTAAAGCGGCGGCCTACACGTATAAAGTGGCAGAGAGAAACTAAACTAGGGTTTCAGAAGAAAAAGTATCGAAGGTGAAGGCAAATTGGGGATTATGGCGAAATTTAATGAGGTGCAGAAGAAGAGAAGGGCAATAATCTCAGAGAGCAAGAGAGCAAAACATGGAGACCCAAATACCCGTAAGCTTAAGCAGAAGGCTCAACCTCTTGCCATCTCCGGGAAGCGTAAACGCAAGCTCTTCAAGAAATGGCGCAGGGTCTGTAATCATTGATCAATATTAGTTCCTTTTCATCTTTTTATTGTATTTTTTACGTGTATTATGAATTTGTGATTTGAGGGTGTTGATTGATGTGAAACAGGACCAAAAAGAGGCTATAGAAAAGGGCGTGATAACAATGGAGGATGTGGAGATGGCTGTGGCTGATGCTGCTGAAGGTATGTTAGTTACGGTTGTAGCTGTTTCTACGGACCTAGTGTTTAAGTTAGGGGTTTGAACTTTGAACTCCAGCATTTTTGCTTATGATCTTTTGTGTGTGTGAGAGAGAAATCCATTAGAATTAAATTAACTGAAATCTCTGTTTCAAGGTGTTATGTTATTTGATTCTCGAACTAGTGGCGTAACTGTGAATTTATATAAGGGGGATTCATACTAGAATGACATAAAGCAACTTTTTTTTTTTTTTTTTTGATAACCGAGAAATCCGTCTGTGACCCGCCCTTTGGACCAATCACAGCCTTCTAAACATGACATAAAGCAACTTTTGTACGCCCTTGATTTCTATGTTACAATTTTTCCTTATGGTGATGGGATTCATCAGTTTATATATAACCTTCGGGATGGCCCAGTGGTTTGGGCTTGGGACCTTCGTGTTGGAGAAGTTCGAAACCCCTTGTCACCCCTTGCCAGCGAAAGCAAGTGGTTTGCCTTATGGGTCGAGCTCGTTGCACCGGGCTTGCCTAGTGCGGGTTACCTCTCCTATGTGGTTTGCGAGCTATTGCATAGGAGCGGGTTTCACATTGGCTGCGGGTTTTCCTTGTCATAAAAAAAGGTTTGATTTTTATCCTATTTGCACATTATAATCTTTTAAAGAACAAGATTTAATCTCTCTTATTAGCTCCGTCCCTGGCTTGAGCTAGTAGAATTCAGAGTCTAGTGAATCTACGTCTTGGATTTGATTTGATCTAGGCTAGAGTGCTATAATGTTGATCCTAAATCCTAATCAATTTCTTAGATAGAGCTGAGATTGCTGGTTCAGTAAGTAGAAAGGCTCATCTTTTTGTTGTTTTGCTGCTTGTATTTACGAGTAGAGTTATTGCTTCCTATGATGAATATATGTTGCTTATATCTATGTGATATGCTAAAAGTTTTGGTGTTTTGGGTAGTTGCTATATCTGCTCTACTCTCTGTTTGTTCCTTCTCTCTTTTCCTTATGCACATGGTAGAAAGGATGTATGTTCTATGTCAAACTGATTGACATTTTCCTAATTGCTTCAGGGAAAACTCAAGACTCCAATAAAGCTCCTGTTAAATTTCCGATGAAAAAGAGCTCAAAACTTAAAATGAAGCAACTGAAGAAGAAAGGCAAGTTACACTAGGATTGCTATATTTTATCTTTCATTCCTGATGTATTAAGGATTCTTCGATGATTTTGCTTATTGATGATTACAAACGCACGTGTTACAGGAAAGAGCAAAAGGAAATCTGATAAACGAGCTACAGCATCTTCCACAGATGCAATGATGGAGTAAGAATAGCAAGAAGGGCATTAGAATCATTTGGTTGACTGCTTGATGGACAATGTCTATCTTTCTTCTTCTGTCCCAACGTCCTTGAAAGTTAACAATGGCTTGTAATCTACTTTTGTATTTTCGCGCTACTAAAAAGGAGAGGTGGGTTCTTGTAGTTTCTTTTTGTTAGTGGACCATATGTTATGTATCATGCAATTTTGTGGATAGGATTGATTTTCTCGATTATAGATGTTCTGAAACAAGAGCTCGATAACTCGTGAAGAACAAGTTTGAATTAGTTATAAAAGTTAGGTTTTCAATGTGTTCTTATGCTTTTGTGTTTTGAGGATCATTTGGTATTTGCATTAGAATGTTGTGTCAAAATCTAAGTTTTAAACAATGAAGCTTTAGAAAACACTTGCTAGTTCCAAAAAATTAGATGATGTTTGACTTCTTTTGAAGTGTGCATTTTGCTAGTTAGATTGGACAGTAATTTTAATTCCTTCAACAAGAGTATAGAGAATGATCTCAATGGTCGTTTGGCTGTTGGTTGGGAAGGAAACTATTCATCTATTAAAATTAGCATAATTAAGGGAAGGGAATTATTCATATTATTAAAATTAGTATAATTAATATCATGTTTGAGTTGCTTTCTATAAAATTTAGAAGGATAGAAGATGAATTCATTATAGATTATATATAAATAAAATATTAAAATATATTTATGATAAACATTTAAATAGAGTTCGGAGTCAAAAAGGCAATAAATTTTTTCAAATTTTTTGAAAGGGCAACAAAATTAGTTATCAAACCAAAGGGACAACAAATTTAGACGCCGTTTAAATTAGGTTTCCTCCACAAAATGCAGAAATCAATGCGCCTTGAGCCTTGTAAGGCTCGGCTGACATGCGCATTACAAGGCATATTGGTTTCAGCGCCTTGCTGCATTCTTAAAAAAAAATAAAATCATTCACTAGCTATGCAAATATTCAATTAATGAGTTGGTTGGTTTCATTCAATTAATTTCTTCTTTTATCAAATTAGATATAGTTACAAATTTAGTGGTTGAATTCATTTTCTATGAAATTTAATGCAGATAAAAATTAATGCAAATCCTACAACATAAACTTATAATATGGAAAACTCAATCAACACAATCCGATTATTTTAAAAAATAAATAAATTGTTCAATCCAATTATTTGTATTGTTAAGAAATTTTAATTTATAATTTTGAAATTATTTCATAAATGATAAAAATTAATTATTTTTTAAAAGTATAATGTTTGGCTTAATTTAGGTTATTCGTAAAACCTTTTAATTACATATAGAGTTTAAATATATTATTATTATTATTTTTAAAACTTAAAAGTATACTATTATTGTTAATATTTATTCAATTTAGCAATAAATAATAAATTCTAACAATAAATAAACTATATTTACAATAATATTAACAACAATAGTATACTATATATTTTTTTAATTAAGTATATTTTTTTAATTAAGTATACTAAAAATATACTTAATTAAAAAACTAACAAGTATACTATTATTGTAAATATAGTTTTTTAATTATTATTTATAAAGTGGAAGAAATTTTTTTGTTTTACAAAGATGAATATTTTTCACATTTTGCATTAAATTGTATCTCTTTATGAAGCTTTTGCAGTGTTTGTCATACAATTATATTGATTTGACATATCATAAAAACGAAAAAAAATATTACATTATGTATTTTTATTTTTTTATTCTGAAAACTCCTCCAATTGCTCTATTTAAGGAAAAAATTATTACATTATGTATCATAAATGTTAACTTGATTTGATCTATGTAGTCATTTGGAACCCTCAAAAAGTCGGTCAACGATTCGTCACTATAGATAATTCACTCTCCAAAATTTACTTGTCCTTGTGACAAAAATGAAGTAGGGTATTTTCCGACTATAATCAAATTTATAGATAATCCACTCTCCAAAATTTACTTGTCCTTGTGACAAAAATGAAGTAGGGTATTTTCCGACTATAATCAAATTATAATCAGTACTATTTATACCCATTCTTTTATAAATTGATGAAAGAAATTTATGATATCGGACATTAATTAAATATTTAGCATTGTGTTTGGAAAGACAATTATAATAAACGATATTTTTGTCATGTATAATTTTGCCATCCCAATAAATCAAAACTCTAACTTTTGGTTTAGAAGACATTTTTTTTGTGATTGAAATAAAGAAAAATAGAAGACTAAAGATGTTGAAGGTACTATGTTTGAACATCCTTAAATAGAGCTTGGAGGACTTTTCAAAATAAAATAAAATAAAAATACGTAATAATTTTTACCATTTTAATGATATGTAAAATCAATATAATTGTATTACA